ATACAGTGGGTGCAGTGACAGAGAATAAAAAGGGGAAGCTCCTTGGAGAGGCGGCCAGGGAAGGCCTATCTGAAGGGGTGTCATTTGGATAGAGACCTACAAGGAGGACAGATGGGAAGGGCACTCCAGGAGAGGGAACGGCATGGTCAAAGTCAGGGTTGGAAGCCCATGAGCTATACTTTTATGCATATTTTGTAGTGCTTCAAAGAGGTGCCCCGACCTACTAACCACATGGCGCATGAGCGATGGGGCAGGTGTTTAAAAGAAGGTCTGCCTGTGCCTTAAGTTGGCATCAGTTTTCCTGCCTCTTTGTTCCTGCAGCCGATGCGACTGCCCCAGTTACACAAAGGCTGCCCAGCATGTCCACACTGGCCTGCCGCTGCCCAGGGCTTGGGACACAGTGGGTAGTGGAGGTGCCTGGCCACATGCTAGGCAAGGAGACGGCCAAGGTATGTGTGACCTGATGCTGCCCCAGCACCTGCTTCCCAAACTGTAAGTCACGGGGCAGGGATGACTGCAGGGTCCCCCTTGACAGACTCCACCCGGGCTCAGGCAGTCCAGAGGGCCAGGGGAGCTATAGGCCTCAAGTGGACCTGCCTGCCTGCACCTCCTCTCCATATCTAGACCTAATGCCCCTGAGGGCCGACCTGGATTCAAACTGCCACAGCGGCACTTCTGAGCTGTGTGACCTTGGACTTCACTGAGCCTTGCTCTCCTCCTTTGCAGGATGAGGACGTTGGGGTGTGGGAAAGAGCAGATCTAGGATTAGAACCCACATTCGCTTGGTTCTGAAGCCCTGGTTTCTCCGCCATGCCAGATGGAATGGCTTCTTGCAATGGGCCTCACTGAGGGGCTATTTGGATGTTCTCAGCCCTGACCGTGCAATCAGATCACCGGGGCGTTTGATGGACTTTGGGATCCACCCTCAGGGATCAGGTTTAATTGACCTGAGGTGGGGCCCAGGTGCCAGTACATTTTAAAAGCTCTCCAGATAATTCAAATAAATAGGCTGCCAGGGTTGAGAATCGCTGATCCAACCCCTTCATTTTCTTTCCTTTTTTAAACCCCTTCATTTTAGAGATGGGGTGACTGATGCCCAGAGATTCTGAGTGGCTGGCCCCATCCCCAAGGTCCTCCAGCCATTTGAAGCTGAGCTGGAGTCTTTTGAATTCTCCCCTATGTGTGAAAGAACTATAGTGAGGACATACAAAGCCTCAGTCCAGAGCGGGACCTTTGTAATCAGATAGAGGTGGGTTCATTTCCAAGTTGTCACTTACCTACACACTGTGTGACCTGGGGCAAGTCACTTCACCTCTCTGACCCTCAGGAACTTCATCTGTGAAAATAGGGGTTACGTGAAGTCTAAAGCACATAGTGTATGCAGAGAGGAGGTGCTCGTTAATCAGGCGGCATCCCCTAGAAGAGACCGTCAGTACAGTTCGATAGACATTTATTGAGCACCAGCTATAGGCTGGTGCCTGTTTCTGGGGCTACAGAGCTGGGATCAGACAGGGGAGACCGACAGAGGGAACACAGGAAACAGACTGGGCTACACAGAGTGGAGGGGCGATGTTAGCAGTAACATAGGCTGTGGGAGCACAGGCGTGGGAGCCCTAATCACACTTGAGATGGGGCAGGGGTGTAGGGTATGGGGATGGTTCCATCAAAGGCCTCTTTCCTAGTACCCTGGGTTTGGGGAAGTGAATGTTCGTTGAAATAACTACTTTATGTTAAGTCTTTTGCTTTTGTCTACTCACCTAATCTTCAAAACACCCCTTCAGGATAGGTAACATTACTTGCATTTTAGAGATGAGGTTCAGAGAAGTACGGAACCTTGGCCAAGGTCCCTCAGCTGAGGTCAGAATCCACTCAAGGAGTCTGACTCCAGAGTGGAAGCTCATCCCATGGTCCCCAGCCCTAGTCACGTGGGGTTTTTGGGGGGGTCTTAGTCCACCATCCTTGGTTCTGACTGGCTGGGCAGCCCCTGGGGAGTTGTCCCCTGAGTCAGTGGGGCTGAGCAGCTGGTCTGCTTCAAGGGCACCTGGCTCGATGCTTTTCTCCTACCTACACCTGCTCCCCCAGACCAAAGTCAAAAACACCCAGGAGTGGGAAACAGCAGCTCCCTGGGAAACCTCCTGAGAACACAAATATTCAGCCCTTAGGATAAAAGACACCTCCCTGAGTGGCAAGCCCTGGCCTGGCTCTACCACTCCCAGCCCCAGCTCACCACTGTCCTCACTTCTCTAAGCACTCCAGCCACTGGAGCCTTCTTCCTGTCCTCCAGCACCCTTCCCACTTCCGGGTCTTTGCACAGGTTGCTCCCACTGCCTGAGCCCTCTTCCCTTCTCTCTGGGTGTGTGACTCCATCCTTCACACTCAGCTACTCCCTCTCTAGTGCCCCTGACCTCCCCACCACGTGGAATATCTCCAGCACCAAGCACCTATTCCCCATGTGACCAAAGATATTTGCTAAGGGACTTCCCTGGTGGCGCAGTGGTTAAGAATCTGCCTGCCAGTGCAGGGGACATGGGTTTGAGCCCTGGCCTGGGAAGATCCCACATGCCGCAGAGCAAGTAAGCCTGTGCGCCACAACTACTGAGCCTGTGCTCCAGAGCCCGTGAGCCACAGCTACTGAGCCCGCGTGCCACAATTACTGAAGCCCGTGCACCTAGAGCCCATGCTCCGCAACAAGAGAAGCCACAACAATGAGAAGCCCACACACCGCAACGAAGAGTAGTCCCCGCTTGCCATAACTAGAGAAAGCCCGTGTGCAGCAACAAAGACCCAACAGAGCCAAAAATAAATAAATAAATTAATTAATTAAAAAAAAAAAGATATTTGCTAAGATGGTCTTGACATCCTCTCCCTCCTGCCTGATCCACCTTCCCCCACCTTGGCCCAGTCCAGTCCTATGCCCTATCCTATTTCTCTAGGACCCGACTCTCTCCAGTTGTCAACCAACAAATTCACATTACAGAATGTTTTTGTTTATGATCAAAATCTCCTCCATTTACAAAAATTCAGTGGAGCAGCTGCTCGGTGGTAAAGCAAACATTATAAAACATGGATTTAAAAGAGATTGAGGGCTTCCCTGGTGGCACAGTGGTTGAGAGTCCGCCTGCTGATGCAGGGGACACGGGTTCGTGCCCCAGTCCGGGAAGATCCCACATGCCGCAGAGTGGCTGGGCCCGTGAGCCATGGCCGCTGAGCCTGCGCATCCAGAGCCTGTGCTCTGCAACGGGAGAGGCCGCAACAGCGAGAGGCCTGCGTACCGCAAAAATAAATAAATAAATAAATAAATAAATAAATAAATAAATAAAAGAGAGATTGAAAGCTACTAGAAAGAGATAGGGAGAAATCTATCAGGCTTCTGTACCAAATTAGTAACTGAGGTTCAATATATAACTTACCTAAGAGCTTCCTAGCAGCCAAAGCAAAAGGGGAAATATACTGGGTTAGAGTAGTCTGGCTCTGGGGTGACTTGGTCTCTTGAAAAAACACATCCTTACTCCCCCCACTGAGAGGGGCTGTATATAGAAGAGCTGCTATTGGCAGGGAAGGCCTTTGAGCCTATGTCACTCAAATGCTCTTTCAAAGCTCAGCCTGCACTGTTCTTACCTCCTTGGTCCCTGCTCTAGCCTCTCCCATCTTTTCCCATCCAGCAATCTCTGCCCTTTCTCTCCTAGCTTGTTTGTTTCCCCTCCCTCCTCCTGTTACTTGGAGGGAGTGGTTTTCCATTCTCTCTGCACTCCTGTCCCTGCTGGCAGTCTCCGTGCTTGTCCCAGCTAATTCTCAAGCATTTCATCTGCTTCACCGCTCCAGCCTGGCCTACTTTCCCTGGCTCTGGGCTCCGCAAAAGTAGTGGGTTTTCCATCAGCAGAGGTGTTCAGACTTGGGCCATGTGACCTCTGTGGGGGAAGCAGCAGAGGAGATTTATAAATGGAAAGAGGGACTAGAATAGATGACTTTTCACATCTCTTTCAGGTCCAGCCCACAGGGTCTGTGACTCTGTGCCTGGGTGACCGAGATGTAGCCCAGATCCCCACCCCAGCTCCAGCTCCTGTATGGTCCTTCAGAGAAAACACAGTTGAGTTCAAATCCCATGACACAACTTAAAAGCTGCCTTACTCTAGATTAGTGATCATGTCCCACTCAGCTTCAGGTTCTTAACATAGAAAACAGGGGTAATACTGACCGCAGGGAATTGTGGGGTCAACGACAGCGCATGCCTAACTTTTATTTATGTATATTCCTGCCCAATCACAAGCAGAAAGGGGTTTGAAGCTCCTTAACAAATAAACACACAAATAACAACGACAACAAAAACTGAGCAACTACATACCAGACGATTAAAATAATGGAAAAACTATCTCATCCCAGCTCCCCCACTTGCTGGCTGTGTGACCTTGGGCAAGTTGTTTCACCTCTCTGAGCCTCAGCTTCCGCATTTGTAAAATGAGATAATAGTAGTACCTGCCCCCATTGGGATATTATAGAATTAAATAAAGTAATATGGAAGAATATTTAGCACAATGCCTGGCATATAGTAAATAGTCAATACATTTTAGCAATTATTAATATTATGTAATCTCACTTTTTTGTTTATAAAAAAGTAACCGGGGTACAGCTGAGCCACTTTGAGGACAGCCTCAAATCACTATTGAATTAGAAAGAAACACCAGTTCCTCCCCTCCCCCCACAACAACAAAAAAATTGAAAGGCAATTTAAAGGGCTTTTTTTTTTTTTTTTTAATTTTTTTTTGTCTGCGTTGGGTCTTTGATGCTGTGCGCAGGCTTTCTCTAGTTGCGGCAAGCGGGGGCTACTTTTCATTGTGGTGCGTGGGCTTCTCGTTGCGGTGGCTTCTCTTGTTGCGGAGCACGGACTCTAGGAGAGCAGGCTTCAGTAGTTGTGGCACACGGGCTCAGTAGTTGTGGCGCATGGGCTCAGTAGTTGTGGCACACTGGCTTAGTTGCTCCATGGCATGTGGGGGTCTTCCCAGCCCAGGGCTCGAACCCGTGTTCCCTTCATTGGCAGGTGGATTCTTAACCACTGCGCCATCAGGGAAGTCCAAAAGGCAATTTAAATATTTATTCAATTCTTTTGAAAATGTTAAAGGTGATTTTATTCATAATCTCAAAAAAACTTCTTAACATTCCTTTTCCTCTTTCTGTTTCTTTTTCTTGTCTTCCCTCCCACCCTCTGCAGACAGCCTCCAAATCTGTATCCTGAGTCCTTCAAATGCTCTCTCAAAGCTCAGGCTGCACTGCTCTTACCTCCTTGCCCCCTGCTTCAGCCTCTCCCATCTTTTCCCACCCAGCAACCTCTGCCCTTTCCCTCTTAGCTTGTTTCCTTCCCTTCCCTCCTCCTGTTACTCAGATCCACAGAATAAAACCAGGCTGAAGCTACCTGAACTACAGAGTTTTCTTCCTCAAAGGCAGGCAGGAAAGGAGGCTATGAACAGGTGAATAATGTAATGTTCTTCCTCTCACAAAACAGACATACATCTGTTAATACAGCTAAATGCAGAATCTCATCAAGGAGTTAACAGTGGTTGATGTTTGAGGAGTAAGATTATGGGGGACTTTTTCCCTATTGTATTCATTTCCATATTGTTTACACTATTTTACAGTGAGCACATATTAATTGCACTTGAAATCAGGGAAAATAGCAGAAAGAGTAAAGCAAAAGCAGGGATAATGTGAGTATCCAAAATATATTCCACTGGTCCTGTATTTAAATCATGCAAAGTGCCAACTATGGGGCCCAGCACACACTTGATAAATAGCAGCTATTGTTAGTCAAGACCTAATGGACCTCCAGCCCCTCATGGAAACTCAAACTGCCCAATTGAATCAGAGTAGCTGGTGGCCCAAGGAGAAAGGGATCAGGCTGCGACATGCCGGTCCCCAGCCCCACCCCAGGCAAACTCTCTGCAGGGTTGCAGAAATAGTCTGATTGGGTCTGACAAGTTCTGCTTGCTCCTCCCGGACCAGCCTCCTAACGGGCTCTTTCTGATGCTTACCTGATTATATCCTCCTAGGCTGGCGGGTGGATGTGTGTGATGGGGGAGTCTGTTCCTGGAGAGTCTGGTGATGCCCCCAGGAGCTCTAGACTATAGCTTCAGTTCAGTTATGGAAGACAAAACAAAATAAAAAATTAAATAGTTCTCATAATGAGTCTCATCCTGTCTGCAGGCCATGGGCTGTCCAATTTGTCCAGACTCTCTCTGACTTGGTACATGGCATCAGCAACCCCCCACTCCCCCCAAAAATCAGTCAACCACTAAGGATTCTTTGGGTACCTACTGTATGCTAGACATTACTGAATGTCTACTCTGTACAAGATGATGACAGAGGCAAAGCAGAGGAAGAAGAATACCAATAATAACGGTTGCCATTTATTGAAGGCCTATGAAATGTAAGATTCTCCACAAATTCGGGAGGATTCTTCTTGGACCTTGGTGAGTCCTGAGGCTGGGATGGCTAGAAATCACAACTAGACTCAAATGCCAGGTACCTCTGAGGCCCTCACTCTCCATGGCCTGGCCAGTCAGAACCCTCGGTCACAGTGACTGGCCAAGGAATGGATACATGTCTCAGTAAGAGCCAATGAGACTTGGTTTGAGGAATGTTGTTGGAACTGTTGAGGCAAGAGTCCCTGTTTCTGTTGCAGCTGCTGAGAGACTAGGATGCCTGGTTGGTGCTGCTGGCAGCCACCCTGTGATCATGAGGAGAGAGTCTGCCAGAGGACAAGGCCAGCAGAGAGGGAAACAGTCTTGACAGACCAAGAGAATGACACTGAATCCTGACAATCATCTGAGCTCCTCAATGCAGCCATGACTAAAGCTAGCTCTACCCCTGTACTTTTCAGTTTAAGGGAGTTTTTCTGCCAGTTTGAGCCCAGATGCTCTGACTGCTGTGCCCAGAAACCTGAGTATTTGGAGGAAGCACCATCACCATCCAGTCTATAGGAGCCTGACAAGGGAAACATGTTTCCTTCCACACAACCACCCAGGTTTCTGTCAGAGAGCACAGCAAGTCCACAAATGTCAACAGAAGCAGCATGATGCCAGCAAAGGACCAAATCCTCTTAGACTGGCTGTGCCACCTTGGGGAAGTCACTTTCCCTCTCTGAACATTAATTTTCCTCACCTGTAACATGGGGCTGGGGTGGGAATCATAGCATCTATAGAATAGAATTGTTCCTAGAAGGCTGTTTGGTGGAGGTGAGCTCTGAGGATCCTCAAGGAGCTGGAGGTTAGGGTCAGAGTTAGCAGCAAACCTTCTCACTGTTCTCCCCTGAGCAGCATAAGACCAGGGCCTGTCTCTCCCAGGCAGCCTGGTGGAATGGAAGAGACCGAGCCATAGCACTAGGAGTCCTTCAGTCTAGTCCTGGTTCTGCTGCCAGCCCAGGGAGTGGCTCTGGGCAAGCCCCTCCCCTGCCAATGTGCCCCCTTCAGAGGTGAGAAAGCCACGCCCTTTCTCCTCTTTTCTTCATAGAGTCAGGATCACATCATGTTCACTGTTGTATCCCCAATACTCAGCCTGGTTCCTGCCTCGTTGATAGAGTATTCCAGAATGCCCATCGTGTGAGTGAATAAAATGTGGTCAGGATGCCTGACCTTTCTTTTCTTTTTTTTGGAACATGTTGTTGTAGTATAACATATACAGAAAAAAATGCACAGATCCTAAGGCGTCTTCACAAACTGAACACAGCCCTGTCCCCAGTCCTTCCATCCCAAAACCACCTTACCAGCAGCCGGAAGTCCCCCTGTTGCCCCCTTTCCAGTCATTCCCTCCCCAAAGGCAACACTGGCCAGACTTCTGACAGTATTGAAGTGCTTTGAACTTAATATAAAGGGAGAAACGCTTAACATTTTCCAGTGGTTCATAGCTTACAGAGGGCCCACGTGTACATTAACTCATTAAATCTTCACATCAGTACTGGGGGGTAGGCAGGAATTACAAATCCTATTTTACAGAGGAGGAAACTGAGGCTCAGAGAGGAGAAGCGAATCCCCCAGAATCACACCGCTGGCAAGTGGAAAGCTAGGATAACTGGTTCCATTTTCGTGTCTCCCTGGATTTCAGAATGTCCCTCCAGGCATCAGGAATGGTCACGAATCTGAAACCAGGAATAGTCAGGAATCTGAAACCAGTCCAGGCCTGGGCAGCTGAGGGTATAAGTTACCAGTCCTCCAGGATGGAAAGAGGGTCTGGGCATCCAAGTCCAGAGAAGTTCTGGTCACCTTTTGGGCAGGGCCCACCCCTCCTTTCTAGTCTGTGGCACTCAACAAGCTTTGTGAATGCTGACAAGTGGCCTCCTCCCTGTCTCCCTCCCTCCACACTGGAGAATTCAGAGGGCTGTTGAATGGAAACAGGGAGAGTTATTTCCACAGCTCCCTCCCTGCCCTCCAGGTGGCCACACACACTGCCCAGGAGCAGATGGTCCCTTTGTAACCTTGCACTGTGTGCCCAGACCCCTCCTCTGCATGCTCAGAATCACTCTGGGCCAGCTCCTGACCAGGGTGGCTGGCAGTAGATGCCCTGTCTTCCAGAATCCACCTCTGTCACCCGTGACTGGTAGGCAAGATTCCCCAGGTCTTTCCTTCTGGCCTCATGAACTCCTATACATCCTTCAAAGCCCAAACACCATCTCCTCTGGAATGTCTTTGTCTCTCCTAAACATCCACTTATCATGGTCCCTGCATATTAGTTTCTCTTTCTCAACACAACATAGAGATAATCAAAAAGTCACATAAACAAAACACACATTTTCACCTCACCCACAATCTTTCTCTCTCTCTTTTTTGCAAACTGGGCTACACACACAGTTGTACCAAATAACAGCCTTGCCCCTCTCATGTGCACATGCTACACCACAACACCAGAGGGGTTTGGCCTCCACTTGTTTACAGCAGGGACACAAAGTCTCTTTCTACCACACCAACGTGCATGCAAAACAGGCCCCAAAAGTACAGATCACACATTCATACAAATACACAGACACACACCTCTTTCACTCAGGCAGTTACACAACCACATGTAGAGACAGTTTCTCCTCTGACATACAAACGTAAAGGCATAGAGAAACATCCACCCTTCTCTCTGCTTCCCTTCTACCTTCTCCTTTCAACCCTCTCACTCTTACACACACACACACACACACACACACACACACACACACACACACAC